ATCTTTGGTTTGTTGCATGTACACATTCTCAAGTGAAAGTTAACAATATGTTTATGGCCCCCTTTACTACCGAGTCGCTCTCCCCTTTCTGTTGTGACTTGGTAAATATGCAATCGGCGGTTATACGCATCCACTCTATGATATCTAGCTTTTTCAGTGTTCTTCTCCAAAATGACAGTGACCTTGGGGGGTATGGAAGTCCCTGTTCAGACCTAGCTTCAGAAGATTCCCTTCTTAAAGTGAAATACCTGTTAACTCTGTGGAAAGTTAACTCGACAAGGGACATGATCGGTAGAAACCGAGCTCCCTTCAACACATTGTTAAATGTTTTAGAGAAGTTTGTAGTACATATCCCATATCTGCGACCAGCGTCGTGAAAGAGAGACCACATAGTGAACGGGACTTGAACAATGTACTCCATTGCCTTGGTACATGCCTCACCAATGAAACACAGATCAGCATGAAGTTTTCTTTCCTGCCTTTGGTACGCCGCAGCCTTGAACATATTTCTCATGTCATTGCTTCGCACGTGAGTCTTCAAGTAAGAAGCTATGTGGCGAACACAAAACCTGTGATAGGCTCGCGGCTCGGTGAATCCAACGTTAGGATCATTCATTGCTGCAATGATCCCAAGATGACGATCAGATATAACACAGAGGCCATCTCGTTGTGTGACATGAACCCGAATGCAGCCTAGGAAACAAGACCAGCTGGAAGTGTTTTCCCTTTCAACCACCGCAAAATCTAGCGGAAATACTTGGAAGCTTGCATCCACACTTGTAGCAACCAACAGTGTTCCTTTGTACTTCCCGTAAAAGTGCGTCCCATTGATACAGATAACGAGCATACAATGTTTAAAACCGTCGATACAAGGACCGAAGGCCCAAAACACTCGTTCAAACACTTCCTTGTTGTTGTAGTATACACCCTCCACCAGAGTTTTGTGCTTCCATACGACACACGTTCCTGGGTTTGACTGTTAGAGTGCTTGCATGAAGTGCGGAAGTCTGCCGTAAGAACTCTCCCAATCCCCAAATATTTCAGCTATTGCTTTCTCCTTGGCATACCATGCTCTTCGATACGGAACATCGAAATGAAATTGCTTGGAGATGAGTTCCTGTATGAATTCAACTTTCAAGGACGGATCTTTCCGCACAAAGGACTTCACATACTTTAATATTATGGACGAATCCAAGTGCAGGTGATCAGTAGATAGTACTTCAGTGACACAGTTCTCCCGGTGCGGGCCTTTGTACGTGACTAGGGTAAAGCCACGCGAGTGCTCACTTGATTTGGTACCCCTTAGCATCCAACCACATTTCTTCTTGCACCGCAAATGAAGGACACTCTCATTCGATGTCATTGTGGTGTAGAATTGATTCCTCTGTATGGAATACATCTTCACCATTTCTTGAAGCATTTTCTTACTTTCAAAATACATCCCCTTCTCAAATTCTCCCCTCGAAACAAACGATGTATGGCTACCCGATTCGGCCCAATACTGATCAACTTCATAGTTCTTGTTTACCTGACTGAACCAAGGTACGGGAGTTCTAACCAGGGGCTCGCCAACTTCCATGTTCTGAAGTCCGTCTTCCTCCTCTCCGCTCTCGGCCTCATCATTTGTATACACATCATACACAGACAATTCGTTATTCACAATAGTGTCAAGATGAATTGGCACAAGTTAAGACGGCGATGCTTGAACATCATCTTGCATAGGCGAATAACTATGCAATTGCATCGATGAAGGTGTGACGGTGTTTGATGTCGAAGGCCCAGGTTGGCCGGTCATTCCCACATATTCCCCCCCCCCCATGCACAGGTGAAGCTATATGAGAACTAAACGACATGTGAAATTGATCGTCGTGCAGCATTCGACTGAAAGATCCCATCCCATATTCAGTTGATGGAATGTCGTGTGAGGGCACTTGGAAGGGCTTTGTGTTGTAACCGGAAATATATGTAGATTGTTGTTCTGGCCGAGTACTTTGTTGGGTACATACAGGCACCATTTCTACATATATCTCAGTAGAAACACCCTTCATTGCAACAACGCTCCTTAAAGCTTTCAAATGCTTATTCGTAGAAACAGGTAACACTTTAACCCCATTGCCAGTCTCAAACCTCATTTTAATGCTTATTTCAACATTCCTTGGGTTTGAACCAATACTACTATGAACCTCGTTCATCAAATCATTGAAAGTCATGTTCGGTTCAAGTGTTAGTGGTTCCATACTTCCTCCACTATACTCGACACGGGGTCCATCAAACAGAATTTCACCTCCCCACCGGCATAACAAAACTACATTTTGTGCAGCCATGTTCTACACAACAACCAAAACACATTACACTTAAAGGCACTAAATCATCCCTAAATCCCCATAACTAAACAACAATATACATACTTTTCAAAATAAAACAGCTTAGAGGCCCTAAATCAACATTAATAAACAACAATGTAGGTTATCACAATCACTCAAAAACCAACAATTATCAACCATTATCAACAATTATCAACCATTATTAGCAATTATTAACATTATCAACAATTATCTATACTAACAATTCAACATATCTTCCATTTTCTACACTCACAACTCAACAATACCAACAATTATGAACACTAACAATTCAACATAATCAACAATAACAATTCAACATTATCAACACTTACAATTCAACAACAATTCAACATTATTAACATTTTAACCACAATTCCAAAAACAAAAAAACCATTAAAAAACCCTTGATTTTAAAATTAAAAAAAATAATAAAAAAATAAAAAAGAGGGCAAGTACCACAGTGCGGGTGATATGAGGCTGCTCGGTGGCCGGTGGTTGGCAGGCGGTGGTCAGAGGCTGCTCGGAGGGTGGCGGCGGTTGTTGGGGGATTTGGGTTGCGAGTGAGAGAGTGATTGGGTGCGTGCAACTGTCAAAGGGGAATGAGAATAAGATCAGGGGAAGGAGAAGAAGCTAGTTTTGTGCAGCGACAAAAACGCTGCCTCAGGCAGCGTTTCATTAAACAGGTAAAACGCTGCCTGGGGCAGCGTTTTACCTTAGTTTAATTTTGTTTTTTGTTTTTTTTTACAAATTGAATTTTTTTAAAAAAAAATCCAGGGCAAAAACGCTGTCCGAGACAGCGTTTTACCCTGAAAGCTTAGTTTGGTAAATAGTTTTGCCACACAACCATTTTGGTAAATAGTTTTGCCACACAACCATTTTGGTAAATAGTTTGCCAAATTGGCTTACTTTGGAGAAAAACCAGTTTCTCCTTTTTCATTCCTATAAATAACCAGTTTCCCTACTGCCAGTGATCACCAAACCAGAAAATGAAAAAAATCATCATCCCTTCCTTAATGATGAAAACCCATAAGATTAAGAAAAAAAAATACATTCCTTTCCCCTTACTAGAAATCAAAATCAATTGGGGTCATTTCGTGTCCAAGTTCCTCAAAAAATATTGTTAAATTTAAATTCCTTAAAAAAAATGAGTTGTTAAATTTGATCATACATCCTCAAGAGGTAGAAACGTCATCAACTAACGTCGTTCAAATATCACATTGCGGAGACATCTTACCGTTACACATTCCAGATTTAAGCGATCTTGCATTGCTACCTAAAGCACTAAAGGTATACTACGAGTGGTTAATACGATACACAAGTGTTGGTAGTTTGTTAACGACGCTAGATAAGGTGTCATCTTTCAGCGACACGATGCCCACGGTAATTGATAGAGAACCATTTATTACGGGGGTCGGGGAGTGCACAACTAAAGTGCATAGCTCTTGCAATTTCATGAAGTTGTTTGTCACAACTTCTGGAATTGGAAGGAGCATATCGTTGAAGTTCAATTCCACTAACACAACTGCAGATGGAAGGGATGGTCGCAATTTAACGTTCAAGCTTCAAGTCAACAGTCCTTTGTTGGAAACAACTGGAATTGGTGCAAGACAATTTAAAATACTATTTTGGAATTGCAAGGGAATAGGTCATGATAATTTTCCAACTCGAGCATCGCAGGTAATAGAGTTCGTGAAGCCAGACTTGTTGCTAGCGGAGACACGGGTGTCAACCTTGATCGCAAGATGGGTAACAACGGATTTAGATCCTTACAGTATGTCTTTCACTGACCCAGAAGAGGTCGGTGCTGGTATAGCAATACTAAGCCTCTGCAAATATTGCGCATACAAGAATATCGTCACAGCACCAAATAATTTGAAAGGGACAGTACTGATTACAAAGTAGGCAGGGGCTTCAATTTAACAAAAAAAGAACTTCTAAATTGCAAGTTAAAATGTACTTCCTATGCTGTGTATGAGGATTTACCTGTTGTTAATGCAAATCCTTGAATTAATTACTATATACAATGCAAATCGTTAGCCAATTACATTGCTTATGAACAAAGGGCCAAGAAAAAAGGGCCAAAATAAAGGGCCACCATCATTTATCAATAAAGCCTATCCAATAAAGGCCAGCAGCACAAATTCTTAAAGTCCAAACTAGATGGCCATATCATTTACACTACTTCAATGTCCAAAATAAAAGGGCATCAAAATAAACGGCCATCTAAATAAAGGGCCATCATTCGACGTCCAAAATAAAATAAATACACCAAAATGGACCAATACAAAATCCTAGACACTACTTTTTCTTAACAACAGCTTCCAACACAGCAGGTCGAGCTTCATTGAAATCGCACATCAAATCCTCGAACAAGAGCCACGACCTTTTAATATTAATATCAGATTCCTGATGGAAAAAACAAAATGTCATAACAAGTTTGACATGAGTTAGTTATAACTATTTGTTGGAGTTTTTTTCGTTTTGCTGTGCAAATAGTTGATAATTATTAAGGTTCAAATTATATGATCTAACTGATTAACTGATTATGTGCATGCATAAACATATACATTTTAGATCTTTGAATTATCTAAATTTAGTTACATTTATCTAAATTTAACATAAACAATTTAACACGACACATCTTTCACATACCAATGACAGTTCGGTGAGGAGCCTCTCCGCGTTCCGCTTGATGGCAGCCAGCATATGCACTCCACAACTATGCCTGGAGGGAGGAGTAATTAAGGTGGTACACAAAGAGACACAAACAGTTACCAGAATGCATGCATATTATGATGAACCTCAATGTCATATATGTAACGGTAAGGAATAACACATACAAATCACCCTGCTGACCCATTCTAAGGGAAGTATTGACCCAGCTCCCTACAGTTCCTAAGGGCCATTGTGGATCCAGAAGCTGGAAAACAAGATCCATTGCATATGCCTACAAACAATACGAAGAACCGACAATGGAACACACCACCAGTGATTATCCATTACAATTGAAAAAAAAAAAAAGTACAAATAAACCAATGCTGAAAATAAAGTACCAGTTGTTTCACATTTATGGAGTGAAGCTCTGTGACTGTAGACGTCTCGATAGAATCCATCACAAGAATCTCTTCCCGATTCACAGAAAAGGCAACACACCACCAATGATTATCCAGTACAACGGGCACAAAAACCTAGCAAATAATACAATTCCTATAATACTTATGAAGAAAAAACGAGTTCTCACAGCCGTATACTACATTTGCTATTTCACAAACAACATCAACAAAATTCATTACCACATTAATCCAGTTAGGAGATAAACCGGACAATTGCCTTGTGTACACTCGGGTTGTCCGGTCCAGGTCATCTGCAGACTTCCTTTGCAAAACACACATCTGCAAAAAAAAAGGTTAGTTTTCAAACTCCAATTCATTACAAAACTGTTTTTAATGACTACATAAAAGAAGCCTTGACATACCGCAAATGCGGGATCCAACATGAACCTTCCACTCCGACCTTCAAACCGCTTTGCCTATACTTTTTCATACAACCTCCCGGCCACCCGCACATACTGTCATTACAATACCGAAATTCAATAAAGACTAATTTTACAAACCTAAGACAATTTATATATATATTAACCTGATACCAACTTGGCCCCTAGTCAAACCTATTCCAGCACATATTCTTAGTGTTGCTTGATGTCCGTCACAGCTTAGCATCACCGGATCTTCATCCCTACCAATTGAATTGCACAATTCAATACAATACCACAAACTAAAAGGCGTTCCAGATCATAAATGTTACACAAAATTACTTACACCGTCTGCTGCCTTCTCGGAGAGAAATTGGAGTGCACCCTAACATAGTCCAAGATACAATGGCGGAATCTATGATACTTCCTAGGCCGCCGACAACTTACATATCCTTGTACTAGCTTCCTAGGTGTGGCTGTTGTCTTCCGTTTGCGACGACTACGTTCACCACAGGAATTCAAAGACGATGGTGAATGAACTGATTCGGCATCATCGTCATCCGAGCAAAAAGGTATCTCTAAATCATTTATCTCCAGACTCCGTGGTCCCCGTATTATCCTAGCCTCTCTCTCTAGGTTCTCCTGGCTGTCCAGGTTATCATTCTTCTCTCCGTTCTCTTGATCAAGGTTCTCCTTCTCCTGCTTATCCTGCTCCAGGTTCACCTGCTCCAGGTTCGCCTTGTCAAAATTCTGCTTCTGCTTCTCCTTCTCCTTCTCCAGTTTCTCCCTCTCCTGCCTCTCCCTCTCAAGAATTCCCTCCCTCTCCTTACGCTCCCTTTCTTCCCTCTCCTGCCTCTCCCTTGCCAGAATTTCCTCCCTCTCCTTACGCTCCCTTTCTTCCCTCTCCTGCCTCTCCCTTGCCAGAATTTCCTCCCTCTCCTTACGCTCCCTTTCTCCCCTCTCCTGCCACTCCCTTCCTTCCCACCCATTATTCACAACCAGGCTACACATTAAACCACTAGAAATGTAATCATGGACAAACAGGTCACCAGAACAAGACCCTGCACATCCAACAGAACACAAACTCTGGTCAGTTAGTTACATTAATACCTTCACCAAACACTCTAAACTCTAAATTACCTGACGCCTTATTCCATCCAAAATAGCCTTGCCCATCCTTCACACGCTTCCTTACACCTTGCGTGCAAATAAGTTCTTCCACATCCTCCTCTTCCACTTCGACAGAGTTCAATAACGCTTCCACAACCTATTCATTTCACATCAAAGATTAAACCATAGTATCTCCAACCATAGGACCAAATTCCAAAATACCTAATTTCATTAACTCAACCTTAGAAGCCACAGCACGTCTCTTCACTGGCATAACGTCCATGGCACTTCGTTCGTGTGGCCGACCATACGCAACATTGACAGTCTACAAAAAATATTAAATACACAAATCAGTATAGGCCAATTAACTCCTATTTTCCAAAATATGAACAAGTCATTACACATACCCCCAATTTTCCAAAATCCCCATTCATGTACCGATCAGCCTTGTTGATCTCTTCTAGTGTCCAAACTTTCAGCCTAGGAAGGACTCCCCATTTCAAAGGGGGCCTTCTCAACCGATCAAGATAGAATATCTGCAAAACAGAGCATAACAAAAACTATATCATACAATAATACACCAACCAACAAAAACAATGTCAGGGAGTCATTCTCAAATCTCCAACAAAACATACCACAACATAATACAAAATAATAAATTCAAAAGACTAACCGAAAGAATGATGGTACACCCTCCACATCCCTTGGCAAAACCCATCGGGTAAAACCTCCTTGCTAAGCTACTAATCGAGTACATAAGTTGATCTATAACTAACTTACACCAATCATAGGACTCAGTGTCATTTGCTGCAAATGCTGCTGGGATTAGAGTAGAGCACAGCCTATGGGATGTTGTAGGACACAGTATAACAGCTAGGGCTAGTAGCAGAAAGGCAACCTTAAACTCAACCACATCCTCAAGTGGAGCTTCTAATGCATCCACTAAATTTTTCCTTGGTATCCCCCTCACACGACTAGGGGTAGTCAAACTGAATTGATTAACCACGCCTTGAACAAAAATTTTCATGTCCTCATCAACTGCTTTCTTCGGAACCGGCTTGGGCCCCTTAGGAATGCCAAGTACCCAATGGACTTCGACAGGGTCAAATGGAAACTCTTTCCCGTCAAGAGTAATCAAGCAATTAGAGGGTACATCAACCCTCGTTGCAAGCCAATAAGCCAACTCCCTCGAAAGCTGCCTGTCAACTGATGCATACAACCCAGCAAATCCCATCTCCTTCACTATCTTCCTTTTTTTGTCGCAAAATCCATTATTAATTAAACCAAAACTCTCCACGCGACAATTAACATTTTCAGGCTGCATGTATGTCAAAAACAAACACAGATCACAAAATAGAAAAGAAATTACTGATTTCATAAAAAAAATCCAACTACCAAGCCATTTTACCCTTTTCAGCTCCTCCTCGCATCTCTGAATGACTTTGCCTAGTTTCTTCATCTTACCACCCTCACTAAGTGTATCGTCCTGCACATACAACCTTACAACACACATCAAAAGTAATTAAAGAACACCCTATACACGGCATCATCAAGTTTTTTACACACCTTTGGCACATCCCTCCCACCAGAATCATCATCAACATCAGACTCAATAAATTCGTCATAGTCCTGCATTTCCAATTCACATATCTATTACAATCACATCAACTTAACAAACTCATATCTAGGGTGTGCGAATCCAGAACAAACTCATATCACCATGTTCACACAATAACACATCAAATCAATAATAAATTGGACTTAAACAATTTACAAGCTTCACCAATCAACAATTTACAAGCTATTTGACTTAAACTAACATGCTTCACCAACTTATCACCAACTAAGTTCAAACCCACACAGATATTGGCTCGATGTCATTCCGATCAATTTTAGATCAATTTGGATCATGCAAACTACCAATTCAATTCAGATTGATTCAGGGGTTGAGGGATTTCAGGGACAACAAACAAGCACAGGGACACTTAATTGCAAATAGCTTTCGATTTCAGTTCACAATTACTTTACATCGCTAACCTTATCAACTGAACCACTCGCCGCACGTCCACCTCTTCGTCCACCCCTTCTACCCCCTGCAAACCGAAAATAAGTTAACAAAAACCCTAAATTCGTATATCAATTCCTGTTTATCAAAAAATTTAAACACAAACCCCTAAATTCGTAAATCAATTTTACCTGACATCGCCCTACCATTGATTCGCAACTTTTGATTCCTTCACGCTCGCGAAATTCCGATCAACTGTGATTCCCAGACCAGACCCACACTCGTTCGTCGCTCCAGACCACACTCCTTCTCTAAACAAATTCAAAGAGCTTGTTTCAACGAATTCCGTATACTTCGCTAGGTTTTGCCCTAGGATTTCGAAAAGTTTTCCGACGAGATTTCCGGTGACCTTTTCTTAGAGAGAGAAAAAGGAAGTTTTTTTACAGCGGTAACATCTAGAGAGAGAATACTATTTGTTTTTACAGCGGTAACATTATCCAGTAACTTTAGCAACGAAATTACTGTACTGCCCCTGGTATTGGACACGTGTCCATACCGGGTAGCGGTCTATCGCGGCTCATGTAAATAGTGTCGCAAAATTATTTTCGAATAATACACGAATGAAGGCATGATAGTGTGATACGAAATGGTAACTTAAATTATATAGATTGACTCATATCATGTCATCAATTCTTAAATTAATACGAAATAAGAGCATATCCATGCTAAAGCACGGAATATATTAATTACTTATTGTTATTATTTTTTATTTCTCAAATTTGACATGAGTAGATTATTGTATTATTTGTATATTCAGGGGATGAGGGAAAGTTATTGTGGAAAAGTTATTGTGTTGATGTAAGAAGTTATGATTATAGTTAAAAAAAAAATTAAAAATGGAAAAGTTAATATACAAGTAGAATTTAGGCCTTTCTTCTTAAAAAAAGTAGAATTTAGGCTTTGTTTAGTTCAATATTATAGTAAAGGAAAGAAAGGGAAAGAAAGAGGAAGGGAAAAGAAAGGAAGAGAAGGAAAATGAAAGAAACTTCATTTGGTCATTGGTTATGATTTGCTCCCAATGATCTTTCGGTTTGGGCTTATTGGGCTTGGTACCCTGAATATTATGGCTCAACCCAAGCCTGGAAGTATCTAAAGTCATTTTTTCCTTCAAAAGTGAATTTCTTTCTATACTGTGGGAAATTATAGAAAAAATGAATAATTTATTTAAATGGAAAATTTTGAATATAAATCATCAAGTATAGAACGAGGAGGCTCCCATTTCTCATGATGAGAAACAGCTTATGTTTCTCATGGGGACATTACCGACATTTCACCTCATATAAGTCATTTTCATTACAGAAATGCCATTGTGAGACAGTGAGAAACACAGATTTCCCCGTATAGAACCAAGAATATCATTGAAGAGGGGAGATTTATATTACAGTCTGATAGTATACATTCACAGATCGACATTTACTCCAAATTTGTGCTCATCAGATACAAGACATAATATGCGACTGGAAGCAATATTCTTGTGAAAAGCATTCCATGTATCTTTTAGTATTTCGAGCGCAGGATCATCCCTTGGCCAGCATCTTCAACATGAAGAGGCGCAGAACAGGATCATAGGAATTTGTGAATCACATGGCCATTGTAACAAGGAAGTTTAAAGAATCAGGTCAGGGATCTCCCAGCCCATTCACGTTCTCGTCGCTTTTCCTTTGCTATCATCCTATTGAATTTCTGTTTGCCTTTCTCCAAAAGAGGATCAATCACAGCATAGTCATTGGCATCTTCACTCCGTGACATGTTATTCTGCACACAGATTTCCACACAAAAAAACCTACATCAATCATCAAATCCAAGCTTATTCACTAAGCACAGAACGGCAGTTGAACAATCTCCTACATCTGTCATTATTCATCAGTATTTTTCCTCACATGTAATACCATTTTTTTTAATTTGAAGCAAATGATAAAATGTTTGTAATCTAGTAAAAAAAAAAAAAAAAAAAAATATCCTTAAAAATATATGCAAGTTTATACATTACAAAGCTAAATACAAAGCAGTATGAATATGATGCATTTCTTAGGATTCCAAGGTAAATGGTATTTAATCAGCAATGAGAAAGTCATCCTGGATCATCAAACTTTTTCAAGTATAATCATAACTGAACATCACGTACATAACAATTTCTAAAGGGAGCTCCTGTCCTAGGTGGAAGTGTGGAACTGCAGTATTTTTCACTTTATTAAGGAATCTGCATCACAACTTCATCCTAGTAAGAATTGTATAGTGTTATTCCAGATATTTACTCTTTTTTTTTTTTGAAGGCATTCAGATATTTACTCTTTTCTGAGTTTCAATTTGCAAATGGCAATATTGGAAAATTTGAACACCAGACACAAAAAATCTAGTAATAACACAAGGGGAGAGGGAGGATAACCTTTCCAGGTTCAGGTGCAAACTTCAGGTGGACAGTTTTCCAGTCAGATAGATCTTCATCAATTCCACTTTCAGATTTGCCACTCGGTTCAACATGCTTTTTGGCCATTGAATTTTTGAACCGCTCAAGTTTGGCAAGTACCTGGACAGCACATACACAAACCATCGAACAGTGTCAATTTTCCAGATATTTTTGAAAGAAAGACCAGCCATGACCAGGCAGCTGTGAAGCAATTGCAAAGCCAGAACAAAGAACAGATACAAGGTATAAGTAGAGAAAAAAAAGCAACAAGACCAGAGATATATTTCTACCCCTCTTTGCCCTGTCTTTTGTCTCATTGGAGTGTACTAAGGAGCTTCAATGATGTTATACATGGTATGAAAATATGGTTCATCTTTTCCATTTAAAGTTATAATTTTTTTCCAGTCATTGACAAAAAATGGGGAGAGGGGGAAAGAGCTTGAGGGCATCAATAGCAGCATAAGTGGTGCTATACTGTAGAGTATTTATGATACATAGTATTATTCAAATAATTATGTATTTATGTTTACATTGAATAACTACATAAGACCGCCCATATTTTGGATACATGCTTGCATATAATTAGTTTGTCAGTCATGCTACTCATATCTTAAGACAAAATCTTAATGATCTAAGAGATTGAAGCAACATTTATCATATGCACAAGGATATACCACCTCTGTCCTTTTATTCTACCCACTTTCATTTCAGGTGTTTTTTGTTATACCCACTTCTACTTTATTCTTTTTGACATAAAATCTTTTACAATCTTGCCCTTCACCCCACAACTAACTTTTTCTCACAACTACCCACCTTTATTAATATGGCCTTGTTTGGTGAATCTACAGTAAGTGGGTAGAACAAAGTCACAAACAAAAACATCATACGAAAATGGAGGCAGCAATATTTTCACAGACACAAAATTTGTGTGCTAGTGTTTTCAGCAGACCTTTACTAGTGTTTTCAGCAGACCTTTACTATATTGAGGACAATTATAGGTGCTGAGCTGCTGACACTTTCATTACATTACCAAGCTGCATAAATAAAGGTGCAAGAAAGAAATAGTACAAGGATAGGAACTGAAGGATAAAAGACACGATAACATACATCATCTTCACGTCCCTTCAGTCTCCGCTTCTTCTGTTTCTGCAACAATCTTTCTCGCTCAGCATTATTTAACAGCTGCAGGTCCGTGTCAGCATTAACTATACGTACTGCCCTAGCTTCAGATCCAATTCCCTTTTTCCTGATAGACAATTTTGCCACTTTTCTTTGGTCATCTGAACTTTCAGGATCTGACCTGCTGGATATAACACCAGAAGAGTGTTGTCACAAACTAGAAAGTTTTAAGGTAGGAAGTAGGCAACAATACCACATGTCATAGAGCTCACAACACAATTGAAATTTTGTGAACATGACTACTAAAACATTAAATTCATGAGATAAACCCAGAAACACAGTTGATTTCTGAAACATCAACAACAGCAATTAATGTAGTCTCCGTCATCATACTTCAAACAACTTAAAGCATGTAAGCTTAAAAATTTACTAGACAAGTCAACCTAATTAGCACGATAATAAGTGAAACTATCCCTTTTCTTGCAAGATCTCAGCATTAACAAACAGAGAGGCCAACGACCAATAATTAAAAATATACAGCCGACTTAAACAAGCTGAGACAAGGGTTTTACTGCTGAATGCGTCACCTACATAAATGTTATCTCACCAATCTGCTGTTTCCAAGGGAAAACTTGGCAACCCTAGGAATATCACTATAAGTTTCTATCTGCAGGTTGAAATTGATATTAAGCAACCACAGATCTCAGAAACTACACAGTAATTTATTAAGTTATTAGAGATTAAAAAAAATAAAAAAATAAATCCAATAGTTAAGAGATCCCTCTCTGGCAACAGCAAGAGAAATTATAACAACAAAGCCAAAAATGGTGAGTAATTATCTTTCTTAGTTCAACCTTCATTGGTGCGAGGACTCGACGAGAGGGTGATGGCTACCTGGTCATTTTATCGCTTTTAAAAAAAAATCCCATGAGTCAAAAGACTTTGCAAAGATAGCACACTAGCTGACCAATAATTCAGTTCCTCGAATAACAGAGATTCCAAGTAGGTAACCTATAAAATAAAGTGAAATTCAAATTGTCACCCAAAATTATTGTATTATCAAAATTAAAGAATATTCTGTTACTCTCCCCCACATCTACATCCTCCAAAGCCCTCTCTCTCTCTCACTCTCTCTCTTGCATATAATTTCTATTCTAGGAGCACTTTTATGTCTCTCAGTTTTATGACTTTGTGTTAGGCGCATTTTTATGTCTGTTATATGGCCTAATTTTCTACCAAGCTCTCATCACTAGGCATCTAAGATGCAGCAAAGAAAATGACGTGCAGCATCAAGAAAAAATTAGAATGAAAATAGGTACATAATCAGGGTAAGGCTTTTAGGTTTTACCTTGTGGCTAACTTCTGCTGATCCGTGGACATTGATCTCTCTAATATAAAGAACAGGAGACAAAGAAACTAAGTTAAAGATGCTGACACGGTGAAAATTAGAACATAGCAGTACAGTTGCAAATCAGGAATTGTATAACTGCATGAACATAACAAAATTACAAGGTAAAATTAATTTGGGAAGGGGGGAGGGATAAGAGACAGGGTATCTCCCAACTTCAAAGTTTTGATGGATGATTCTTAGGCAAATGCAAATTACCAATGACTGACAAGGAATGTGAATAATAAACTGGAACTATGAAAAGAAAGTTGAAAAATTGAACATGATTATCATCACATTCATCAAGGAGTACCCTTGAACAGTGAAACTAATCTGGACAACAATATAGAGGGGGAATCCCTCTCCACTTCTACCCACTTTTCTCATTTCTAATCAGGCTATGCCTATATGCACATCAACATCTGCAATTGGAAGTAGGTTTGAGACTAAAATGACTAAGTCCAAGGCCACCATGAGTCAATAAAATCAAGTTAGATAATAAAAGTACCCATACCACTTTGAGACTTTTGCTTAGTATTAGTAGGGAGATCACCAATCTCCATTCTTTTCCTCAAAATCTGCTCACGCATTCGTCCATCAAAACTTCTTTCATCCTCATCACTGTCACTTAAAGCACGAGAACCAGATAACTCATCAGCTTTCCCCTTTTGTGACTCCTGATTTTTTGAATTCAAAGCTTCTCTCACAGATAATTGCAAATCCCTTGCACTCTTGAGTTTATCTGGATTCTGATAGACAAAAGTTTAGCAAAGACAACAATTATTAGCTGAGACAAAGATAAGACCACCCAAAAGGCCAAAACAATTATGTATATTTGTGCAATGGTCACATTTTCGATATATAGAACATTATTTGAATCCCCAAAAGAAGTATTTGCCAAGCAAGTAACATCACTATTTACATTTAGAATTGATCAATTAAACATATCAACCGTACTGCAAGTCTGAAGAAGGAAGCCCATGAAACTTGTTCTATTGTTAACAACATTGAGATAAAAATTAGCTAAATATATGTCCTGTAAAGAATTATATTTCACTATCTCAGGAGTCAGGACTTATTATTATTTTGTTTTCTTCACTTTGTTACCTGAAGTTTATTACGAAGACTGAATGAATGAAGTCCCCTTAGACCTTAGTCCAATACTCCTGTTTACGCCACAGCATTACTTTTTATCATTTTCCTAAAACTTTGACATGGGCTATAATAATTTTCTTCTCCAATTAAAAGCTTTATGGCATTCCTAAAAACCAAACAAAGAAAGGGAAAATCTATTCTTCTCTATCTCCATGTGGGCACGTGTATTATAATATATCATTGTTAAAAAATTCAGTATAAAAATGATATGCTGGCAAGCTGACTTCAATAAACAATTTAGTTCTTCAAAAGGCAGTAGTCTCAAGGACATGTAGGTAAAAATGTACATATGTTCACAATTCAAGAAGATACCGAGGTATAGTAGTACCATTTCTTCAGTGAGATTGTGTTCTTTCAGTAGACGAGGATCATCCAACACATCATGACTGCTCTTAATTTTTTGCTTCACAGCTGTCAAATCCCTCTCATCTTCTTCGGCTTCCTCACCAAATGAAAGTAAGTTCAGCTTTCTGCATCAGAAAATTACAACTTGAATGGTAAATGATACATATATGCATAGATATGAAAGAAAATTGTCAACATCCAGGAAAACTCACTTCACGGCTTTCTTCTTCAAATCTTTGTTATCTTTGTCAGATTCCAACTGGGGCAACTTCTTTAATTCTCGTGGGACAATATCTTCAAAGGGATTCCATATAACCTACTTACAATCAATCAACCAATCAATCAATCAAAGCCTTAATCCCATAAGAAAAAAAAATATAAATGCTCAAATTTCAACCATTTCCTTTTTGATCTTCAACATCCCTTGCCAGTTAAGAAAAATTAACAGTTTGAAGGAGGCTTTTTGATACAGTGGGAGATCATACACTTGCTGTTTGTCTCAGCAACTACTCTCAAACATAATGACGAGGTATAATTAGACATAAATAAAAGGGTATTCAAATTGCGTGTGACAGCGTGCGTCAAAAAAAAAATGAGTGACAGCGTGCCTGTGTGAGAAAAAGAGAGAGAGATCAAGGAATTCACATGGCCTCAGACATTGAATACAACGAGGCTACCATAGTTTTAGCCTTAAAAATGTGAGAGATTACGTTCAACCTCGAGGATCTGAAGACATGCAGAATAAAAGAAACAGATGGCATGCATGAGCAGAACCAAACCTCAACAGATGTTATCTTCGGAGCAGGGTCCAAGGGTCTGTCATCCTTATCAGTTTCAACTTCTCCTATCCGGAGAAGATTGTATATAGAATCTCCAGTAACCTGCAACAGAACATACCGATGTAACTTGCAAGAAAACATGAAAAGGGAAATATAGAGTACATTATGTGACACCGTCAAGGGCAATATAGCTTAGCCTTTTCTTATAAATCTGTCACCCATTTTCATAACCCTGCATGCGCCAAAAATTTTAGTTTTTAGATCTTATCTGTGGCAACCACTTACATGCTTGAGTTAAAATCAACAAGCATAGAAAGGTATTAAGAAACATGATTTACTATTTGCTGGCAAGAATATAAGACAAGACACATATCAAGAGTCCTCAGCGGAAAGAAGAATACCCCCTTCTTCCTTCAGTAAAGCTACCATTACACCATTTAAACTTCCAGGCAAGACCTAGTTGCAAAGCAAAACAACTCCATTCCAGATCAACACCTCTGTCAGTAACTCACAATTGGGAATACCAAGGATATCATTCAGTTCTCTTGTTAAACAAGATTATGCGATTTCTGACAGAAGGCTTTTTCATGCTGGTAACAAGATAGATATATATAGGTTACAGGGGTGTGTATGAAATATATGAAGCATCAGAAGACCAAATGAGATTCTAACTTATTAGGTTTGTATCTTCTCAATTCTCTGACAAAGCATGCAAATGGACTTTATGAATTGTTTACTTTGTGCATGCTCAATTGATAAGTGGACCTCTAGTAAACCTCCAATTGGGTCGCATTGTAGTAATTAAGTACAATATATAAACCACTTCAATTTCTTCTCCAAGAAACTCATTTAAAGCCACAAATCTGGTCACTTTTGACTGACTACCATTCTAATGCAAAAAAACTCTTATTGTCAATTAATATTTTTCAAACTGATGCATGAAGGTATATAATCACAAGGGTAATGGTTGCATAAATCTTTTTTCAAATAATCTTCCTAAACTTCAAAGGCCACCCTGACTGCCTGACTACCATTCAATTAACATGCTTTTTTTAACATGATTTAGCCTCTTTATTTGATGAGATAGTGTAATTATCATACTTCTTGAGCTCCGAAAACCAACACAAGGATGGAACATACACTACCGCTGTTTTTATTGAATTACTATCCCCTAAGGTTAAAACAAGTGAACCATGTCACTAGATCTATGACAGTAAGAAGATTAATTGACATGTACTTAAATGAGATTATCATCAAAATTAAAATAGCCACAGCAAGGCAGCCAAGAAATAATCTGCTTTGTACCAAGACACTGGAATCTAGAGATTTAAAGGAGTGATCTATTCAAACATGGGACATTCTAATAATTTAAGATTGATAAATTAAGGGTGTACTATCAAATGACTCATCAGCTAGAGCCAGAAAAAACATAAATATATGCAGCATATCAACTTCAGGTGTCACCCACTAAATTCAGATCTGATCTCTGTAAAGGTTACTTATAACTTTCTTCCTGCATCATGCTTGCATCTCCTAAAGTTATCAATGTACAATATGTAGATTATCTAGATGCTACAAGACCTACATCTATGTTTCCATTTTATTCAACTCACAATTTCCTTCAAAAGTAGGAATATCAAGTATCAACAGATATCTCTTCCTTTTTTATTTTTTGACTATATGTCTTCCCTTATGTCCAACCAACCACAACCAGGGCAACCAAATGAGGAAAAGAAATACTTGTATAAAAGAAGAAAATGCGGCTCAGTGCTCAAGAACGGTCTCTTCATAATTACGAGTATAAATATCACAATATTAAAGACAAAGATTACCATACCTTTCCAAAGATCGTATTTTTCTTATCAAGCCAATCACAACGGTCCAATGTCATAAAAAATTGACTTCCATTTGTATGCGGAGAACCAGCATTTGCGCACGCAACCAAGCCCCTATGGTTGAAACGTAGACGAGAATGGAATTCATCAGAAAATGCTGCACCATATATGCTTTCACCACCTAACCACAACAAATTGCTGATCAAGATATTGATAATCAGCATGATACAAAATTAAATCCAAGAGCTGCACACAGAAAGTAATTGTTTATTAAGCACTACTAATAGAAATATGCAGCATATTGATGGAACATCCATTATTTAAACTTTTAAGAAAATGAAAATCCTTATAATTTCCGTATCTTAACATCATTATTGGAGCCAGTATCTTAACAGTATTTTGTTTCAAGATGTATAAAGAACGCAACTCAACATCCTCAATGCAGCAACTGAAGTTTATATTATAAGAGAATGTTTTGCATGGCATATTTATCCACAATCTTCTTTCATTATAAGCCAAGTCCTTGATGTAATGACAGATTATTTTTTTAAGTAGTCTGAACTATTTTTTTAAGCCAGCTCACTTACATATCAGCTTAAGCTCTGATTCTTCTCTAAAGGTGCAATCCTCTTTATGGCGAGCCCAAAAGAAGTAAAATGTCAAGTATGTTGAATGCAGAACCAGTAAGAATATAAACAATGAAATCACGAGTTTACAAAAACACAAGTAACACTTATTTTTCCTAATTTCAATTTCCATCCCAAACAAGCAAAAAAGAAAATATTATTCTAACCCTAAAACCTTCAAACATGAACTAAAACCAGCTTGTTATTGCTCATAAAACATAAAAAAGGAAGGCATACTGCAATTATAAGATCATGAAATACATCAATAAAAGCAAACAATTTAAATATAAAGTTCAAAATTTTAGGCTACCCAGAACAAATATTTCTCCAATCCAACCATCAAAATGGAATCTCTAATTCTAACGCACTCTCAAAGAATTCAGAATCCTCCAATATCACTCTACTTTACGAGTACCCATTACAAACAAATGCCAGATTATCTCATATCCACCAATCAAATTGAAAACCCATCACAGCTTTGCTACCAAAAACAAAATTAAACCCTTAAATCATTATTTACATGCTCAAAACAAGTAAATTGGATAAAAAAAAAAATACACAAACCCATCACAGTATTACTACATAAACAAAATTAAAGCCCAAATTCAATCATTACATGCTCAAAATAAGTAAATTGGATCAAAAAAATCATCCAAAACAAAAACCCTCAAAAGTTTGGTACCCAATCAAAATTAAACCTCATTTTCTCATAATCAACAACAAAATTGAAAACCCATCTCAGTTACACTACTCAAAACAGCAATAAAGCCCTAATTCAATGATTACGAGTTGAAATTGAAAAATTAAGAAGACAAAGAGGGAGAATAGAGAAAATACCGAGGCCAGTAGAAGTGGGATCACCACCCTGAATGAGAAAACCCTTAATAATGCGATGAAAAATGGTGGAATCATAGTAACCTTCAAGGCAAAGCTGAACAAAATTTCGAACAGCTTTAGGAGCTTCTTTTGGCCAAAGCTCGATGTCAATGGGTCCATATGTTGTGTGTATAACGACCTTCCCTTTCGTCGGCGGCTCCAATACGTATATCGTCGACATGTTTCCGGCTAACTCCGATCAAATCAGGAGAGAGGATTTTGCAACTTGTTTTAATTTGTGTTACTTTTGTTTAAGGCCCTCCTAATACTCCCTCAGTTTTTTTAAGCCAAATGTTTTGATTTTGCACTAGTCACTTTGGACAGAGCAAATTATTATTATTATTATTATTATTATTATTATTATTATGAAAAATTTATGAGAATAATCCCACGTTGGGCCATTTGTTTTTAATAATCCCACCTTTGAGATATTATTTAATAATCCGACTTTTACCCACCATTTTTTTTTATTGGTCTCATTTGACCAGAAACCGATTGAGTAGGTAAATATTTTTTTTTTAAGTTTAATTTACACGTATCACAATTGAATTTGTCCAAAATTAAAAAAAAAAAAACCACCACCCCTGCCACCACCTTCCCCACCATCTTGCCACCATTCCCTCTCCTCCTCCCCTTCACGCAGCACCCCTCTCCCCCAGCCCAGAAATCGGCCGGCCGACGTCCAGATCACCCACCGTCGGCCGACCCACCCCCTATTACTCCGACCTCCCCTTAACCGTCGCCCCACCCATCGAAACGAACGCTAACCCGCGAAAACCGCAACCAACCTCCACCTTCACGAACTTCAGTTCTGATTCCACCCCTTTCCGACCACCGCAGCCCCGAAACCACCCCTTACCATGTTATTTGGCCCCCATAAACCCTATTCCCCCACCCAACACCACCAAAAAATCATTTTAACTTAGAAAACCCGAAACCCGGAAAAGGGGGTGCAGTGGTGGCGGTGAATCAGTGGCTTTAATTGCTGCGAAGGTGGGATGGTGGGTGTCGAGGAAGGAGGGGAAGGGGAGGGAGGCCGCCGGCACGTCTGCCGGAGCAGGTACCGGCGGCAGGGGGCTGGCCTGGGCTGGCTTCCTGGTGGCTGGCTGTTTTTTTTTTTTTTTTGTTATTTTTTTTTGTTTTTTTTTTTTTGAGCAACCACAAGCCGCCACGTGTCATATAACAGGTTACATGACCGGTTGGGACCAATAAACAAGAATGGGGCGTAAAGGTCGGATTATTAAATAATATCTCAAAGGTGAGATTATTAAAAACGAATGGCCCAAAGGTGGGATTTTTCCCATGAATTTTTCTTTATTATTATTATTATTATAGTAACAAAAACCTACAAAGTCAAACGATTTACAAGAAGTTAGTGGGGAGCCGAGATACAATCAAATTATTATTATTATTATTATTATTATTATTATTATTATGTTAAATACGGAAGAGAAAATAAAGAGAGATAGGAGAGAAATTGGGGAGAGAAATATCAGTCTATCTTATTCCATAGAGTGGGGGGTATATATACATACAATATAACAAGGGTTTGCTTAGATAATAATAAACCCTAGATCTAGAATATCCGAAATGATAAAAGGAGGATAATGGATATCCTCACAATATTTCATAACACTCCCCCTTAGATGTCCATTATTGAAGAGTGTGCCTCGTTAAAACCTTATTAGGAAAAACCCTGTGGGATAAAAACCTAATGAAGGAAAAAGAGTACAACATTCTTCGTATTACGCTTGAGATGTCGCCTCATTAAAAAACCTTACCAGGAAAACCCAATGTGGGACAAAATCATGGTCAAGGGAAAAAGAGTGGAGCGCTTATTTTCTCCCCCTGATGAATACATAACTTGAGATCTTCTAGTGCCGCAACAATGAACCCAATATAGTTGGATATCTTCTAATATGTAGTAAAATATCATTCGTTGGTCTTCAATCCTCCTAAACTGAAATTGCATCTTCAAGTCTTCAAGTGAACATGTGAATTGTCTTCGGTTCACCATACATGTATTTATCTCTACATCATTCCAAACCTCTGTTTGAATAAATTTACTTAAAAGTTAAACTTATGCGGTTAGGCCTTCTTCTGGAAGTCGTTAATAATAGAAATCGATGATCATTATTTGATCAAACATTTATTAATAATAATTTGATGACAAAACTTGATATTATTAATGTCGTTCTTCAATCTCATCTGAATTATAATAAAATACATGTAATTAGATACGCTAATCATGGTTCTTCTGGACCATAAGAAAACATTCTCACGCATAAGTATTCCATTTATATTCTTTAGACGTTTCATAATTGACACGATAGCTCTCTTGCAAATACAAAAAGCAAATCTCACTAACTTTCATATGCTCAAACTTCAGGTTGAGATGTCAATGATGTAGTCACATAAACTTTTCAAGAGTTTGATAATAGTTGCAATATTCAAGATATAAAATTTCTAGGGCTATAAATACGTTGCATATAAGTTCTTCGGGAACTTTTCTTACATGATTCATAAATAATATTAGATCAATGTCATATATAATTTCATCATAATTATAAGCCCGTTGGAATATAAATATGTCTTTCTAATTTTCCATCAAAGTTGTAAATATGCCTTACTATACTTTGAATGAACATTCACATACACCACAATTATTGTATAGAAACTAATGCATGCAATATGAGATATAGAAAACATGATAACATATTAAACAAAATATACAATGAGAAATGCATCTAACAACTTCTGACATATGCAATAATGATTAATCCATTAACTTATGACTTACACATGTACATGGACATAAGACTCAAAATAAAGCAAGACACTGTACAGTGTGGATTTAAAAATCCATATTTCATTGGACTTCTGGTCCATGACAAACTTTTGATCATTATCATTATGTCGACATTAAAATGGACATATATATTTCAGATCCCTTATTCACTAGTCCATTCTATCATGCATATGCATATTATTTATCGGTTCCCTTGTGTACCGGTATCATAATATTCCTTTAATGTACATTTCGCATGCTATGTTACTATGATATCTGAATACATTTCTTATTGGTACCATCATAACTTCCTTACATTATAGGCCATCTATTGTAATAATTCCGATATCTATACCATTTTTAGGGTATTTCATACACTATGATATTTATATACTATTACGCTATTAGTGTTAACTGCACTATCTGGCCATATATCATATCCATTAGAGATATCTTTATTTTGGAACCGATCATACAACCTACACTTCAGGTGTAGTGATTCAAGTATAATTGGCAAGATTTTATCTCAATGTGTACACATAATATGACCAAAAAGTATCTTCAACGCTATGCAACATGAGTCATAACTAAATACAAATCAAATCATAAATGTGCAACATATCTTGATAATATATAGACAAAAGTTGGCATATAACTTTTCAAACTACCTATATAGGGATCATCAATTATATATTTTCCGATTTTTCCAACTTTTGCTAATTCTTCTCCCCCTAAGTTGGTAAAATATCTTATTTATAGGGGCATCTAATTCTATACCAACTTAGTATACAAATTTGCAATAAAATTCATTTCATGGGAGGATCATAATCAAGAAAATTCATCTCTCAGGAGAATTATATTAAACAAGCTTTTATCTCTTCTAGAGAGCAATTTTAAAGAAAAATCATTTCTTCATTAGCTTTACATTGCATAACGCATATGTATTTATTATTAAATTTTTCATAATTTGTTCTCTTCAGGAGATCAATAATTCAATATCAATGGGGAGACATATGTTGTGCAGTTGAATTTCCTTCTTTTCCTATTTCTTATGTGCTGACATACAATAGGCCCAATCAATAGAATTGTTATACAAATATAAACTTGATTGTAATTCTACTAGGTGATGATCTTTTAGATCACTAGAAACCTTGATAGTATGATACTAATTAAATATTCAGAATTTCCACATACAACTTGTATTTGGTGAGCTTCTGGTCACCAACATGTGACAACATATAAGTTATTCCGGTGAACTTCTAGTCACCTATTACTCTTTCGTATGAAAATTTATTCAAAACGAATATATTATCTCTTGAAATTTTCTTCAACATAAATCATTAAAAATCACAATCCAAATATAGTTCAATCTCAATGTTATGTCTTGCCATTCAATACATTTCATATATCTAACATTGAGAGAGTGTCAGCAAATTATCAAACGAAACTTCAAGTTTCCATAACGGGTATTTATTGAATCCAGATGGCCTAATTTAATTATCACATCCAATCGTTTATCTAAACTTATATTATGGTTAGTTTTCCAACAGGTGATCACTTTATGAGACATAATATGATATGATATTAGAACACCAACATGTGTTTCTATATATAATTGGCAAGACAATCAACTTATACTTGATCCAAGATTTTATACTCTGCTGGAGCTTTGATTATAATCTTGATACATGCTAAGCTTGTTGGATAATTCTATACTCTTCTAGAGTACTCTATGTAATCATGAAACATATCCATTTTACTAAATATAATCTCTTATAAAGATTTATCAAAATGCATTACTTCCTCAAATTTGCTATTGTCAATAATTGCACTTTTCCTGATTCAAGATTCTTATATTTTATCGTGGAGCCTATTGAAATACCACGCTTCAGGCGAGCTTTAGGTTCATTAGAAATTGATGTTTGTTATCCTTCTGGGACATTAGTTTTAATTAAAGCATTTACATTTGGTATATAGCTAATGACATCTATTCATATCCATCTTCAGGATGGTATCATTTTGAAATATATTAATAAACATGTGGCCACTTTTATTAAATAAAACGTTAATATTTAAGTTAATGTATGTACCAAACTGACCATCAATATATATTTTATTATTTATGTGCAAGAATTACATAAATTAATGAAATAATTACTATCTTCCCCTAATCCTTGCATATGGGGGTATGGAATCAATCCAACAACCTTTAAAATCTCTACACCTTTTAAGCCAGAAATTCTATTGGCAATGTCATGTATAAGTAACGTGTTCCTTTTAGCAATAACATGCTTAGATAATTGTATCCTTACCATCAATCAATCTCACATTCACTTCAGGGAATTGAATGAGTATATTTGGGTTTGAATTAATGAACCATTTTAACCTATATTTTTATTACTTTGTGATAGTTTATACAAGCCAATCATATGCCTCGCATGCTCTTTCCTTCCCCTGTTACATAACTAGGGTGTGATAAAATATATACATATTTGTGTG